ATGAGGACAAACGTCTTTATTCATAAAATAAAAAATAAAATAAAATAGAAAAATAAAAAAATAAAATAAAATAATAAAATAAAAAAATAAAATAAAATAAAATAAATAAAAAAAATGAAGACAAACGTACGCGGCTCCTTCGCTGGTGTCTATACATGGGTACCCTCGTGGCCTTGGGCGGCGACTGCTGCCTCTGTTGCTGCTGCAGCTGCTGCAGCTGCTGCTGCTGCAGCTGCTGCAGTTGCTGCTGCTGCAGCTGCTGCAGCTGCTGCGGCTTCATAGGGGCCTCCCCCTTCGAGGGGGGGGGGGCCCCCCAGCCTCCTCCGTACCCTGCACCAGGGGGGCCCCCTGGCTGCATCATATGGGGGCCCCTGCTATCAGGGGGCCCCCCAGTACCACCGCCTCCTCCAGCATTCCCTGGCTGGCCCATGGGGCCCCCCATGGGGCCCCCCATGGGGCCCCCTGGGGGCCCCCCCATGGGGCCCCCGGGGGGGCCCCCCATGGGGGCTCCTTGAGGGCTCCGCATGGGGCCCCCGGGGGGGCCCCCCATGGGCATCTGCATCTGCATACCCGGGGGGCCCCTGGGGCCCCCTGGGGGGCCCCCCTGGGGGCCCCCCTGCATCTGGTTCACTCCGCCAGGCCTCATACCGCCTGGGCCCCCCATGGGGCCCCCTGGGGGCCCCTGCTGCATGGGGCCCCTCTGGGGGGCCCCTGGCATGGGGGCCCCCCCCCTGGCGGCCCCCATTGGGCCTCCTGGGTAGCCTGGGTAGCCTGGTCCCCCCTGTCTAGGTTGCTGCTGCTGCTGCTGCGGCTGCTGCTGCTGCGGCTGCTGCTGCTGGCTGCCTGGGGGCCCCATAGGACGCATGGGTTGAGCTGTTGCGCCTGGCGGGGGGCCCCCCTGCCGCTGCGGAGAGTTGAGGGGGGCCCCCATCCCCGGTACCCCCTGCTGCTGCTGCTGCGGCTGCTGCTGCTGCAGCGGTCTCATGGGGGCCCCCCCTGGGGGCCCCCTCTGGCCCTGGGGGCCCCTAAACTGCTGAGGTGCTGCAGGAGCCTGCATGGTGGTTGGGGTGTATCTGCAGCTCACAAGCAACACAAACCAAACCTTAAACCCTAAACCCTAAACCCTAAACCCTAAACCCTAAACCATAGAAAATGTATATACAAAGAAGAAGGATGCTGCTGCTGATGCTGCTGCGATCAAAAGGAGAGCGCGAGGCAGCAGGGCCTCAGCTGTCTAGACTGCTGCTGCTGCTGCTGCTGCTGCTGCTGCTGCAGCAGCAGCAGCAGCAGCTTAGACAGCTGACACATCTCCATACAAATGAAGAAGGAATCATAAAATAGAACAAAAGAAACAAAAACCCCTAAACTGCAGCAGCAGCAGCAGCAGCAGCAGCAGCAACAGCAGCAGCAGCAAAGGATTGACAGCAGCACGAAGGCGAGCGCACCAAGAAAGAGGAGAGAAACAGACTAATATTTGTGTGTTTTTTGTTTTGTTTTTATTTTATAGTTTTTATTTTATATATAATTTATAAATAAATAAAAAAAGAGAGAAAGAGAAACAGAAGGAGGGGCTACACAAACACACAGAGCCAGTGGCTCGCTGCGGTGACGCAGCGGCGTGCAGCAGCAGCAAGGCCTGCAGCAGCAGCAGCAGCAGCAGCAGCAGCAGCAGCAGCAGCAGCAGCGGTGACAGCAGCTGAGATTACATAAAAAGAAAAGATTCTCTTTGTTAGACATTATAAATATATTTATATTTTATTATTATTAAATAAAATAAATATATAAACAGCTGTATACTGCAGCACAACCACCACCAGCAGCAGCAGCAGCAGCAGCAGCAGCAGCAGCAGCAGCAGCAAGCCGTCCTGGTTCGGCGGCGGTAATATTTTATTGAGGTGTATGTACACCTCAGCAGCATCATCTTATTTTACATCTTTATAATATATACAGAATATAATTTAATTAAATAAGCTGCTGCTGCTGCTGC